CTATAAAACTACCATCAGAAGACATTGCGATGGAAAAAAGACAAAAATAATATTTGTCAAACTAATTCAACTTTCATATCTGAGAAAATCTTCACATATCTAAGTTAATGTAATTAAGTAGAAGTTTTATAGTATAGTGTTTGTTCAAGCACAAAACTATACAATAAGCTATTTGCTCTGTCCTGACCGCAGGTTCGAGCCCCAAATGTTAGTGTTATAACAGGGGGGAAGCAGAAGTTTAATATCACGTTACTTTGGATCGATATATAAATAAAAACATATATATATATATATTAAAATATCTTGAAAGACATATTAGGATAAGAAGAAGAGCAAATATGAAAATTCACAACCGCGGTTTTACCACAAATTAGGAAAGATATCACACGTTTTGATCGTCTTCTATTTATGTATATACAATGCTGTCCAAACGTTAAGGAACGAAACGTTCGTTCCTTAAGTTTTGGACACAAGTGTATTAACGAAAACAAAAATATTAATTATTCTGTAATAACTGCCATATTTGCCAGTGAGTCATAGCATTCTAACAACGTTCAAAAATATTACAAGAAAAAATAAAAGCGTTGCAATTTATACGTTTGAATATATTTTTGCTGTGACAAATGATATAGCTATATAGAGTGAAAAGTTCAATTCATGGTGTGTTGTGAAACTAAGGCTGTTGAGGATCAGCGACTTTAAATACTTTCAAGCACAAAATGCAATCTTTCTGTACTGTTATTCTTTGACTCGAATGATTTTCCGATTTGCGTATATACTGTAGATATATATGTATATATTCACTTTCAAAACAAGTTAAAGCTTTAACAATATTCCAATTTATCGTGCAGTTTCAGTGTTTCATAAACTAGGTTACGCTTACTTATATGGCACGAGTCGTGACATGAATTATTCACAATTGTTTCCAGGTATGAGTATATTTGTTACGAAGAGATGTATCTGCTGAAATGGGCGAAATATTATATCTATCTCCAGAACCATAAATATGGCGGGTCTAAAATGGCTGCTGCTGCAGGTGCCGTAACATAGGTAGCGCAGTTTTCAATTGTGGGAACTATGTTACTTAACACGGAACAATTATGGTTATGTCAGTCTATTTATAGGTTGCTCCACAAAATTAGAAAGACGTATTGAAGCAGACTAAATTGTGATCATATAATACATAGTACAGACAGTTTCTGCGTAAATAGATTTAGTCACAATGACAAAACCCTTACAGGTAAGTTTTGGGTAAATAATACATATTCTTCGACACCATATGTGCAATTTCATGTATTCTGTGAATCAAAACATTATTGCTAACAATTCTTGTAACCAAATCCTCTTTTTGGAGCACCTTTGTTCACTGGATAGTTGATGTTTTTCAACTCACTGCTCTCTGTTGAGTTTAGTGAGTGGAAAAATCCAGGATTTGTTCTCTGCTCCAGTAATACTAACTGAACTAATGTCACCACGGAAGATGGTTCGTGACTTTTGCGTATCATTTGGATACTGCAGGTGTATGTTGTTGTTTCAGTTGGCAGCTGTGTATTCTTTCGAGCTGCTAGAATACCATTCTACTTGGAAATTAATGTCACTCGATTCTAGTTGAACAACATATCACGCTGAAGTAACAATAAATAGTATGGTGTACCTGTTGAACGAGTCTGTCACGTGCTTCGGGTGCTTCAGTCCAGCACTGTGAAAGTGGTAAGTTGGAGGCTGACAGTCATGTAGTACTAAATAAGCTTTCTCCTGGGACCTCATGACTTCTGGTTCTTCTTGTTCTTTCATTAATAAATTGTTGTTGTTTTGTCTTCACGTCGTGTCTTGTCCCTTTCTTTACATTTGCAACAAGTTATTATACCTTCACTTCCGCATACTAGGGCCACAAATCTCCAGCCATCGGAAAAAATCTGATAACTGTATGCTTGTCTGTTCCTCGGTAGACAACATATCAATCTATGAATATGCATGTCTGAATGGTATACAAACATGAATGTTCAGTACCAAGCAGTGGAAAAGTAATAATCTAGGCATTTTGTTTATAATATTTGACAAGAGTAACAGATGTTTGAATTTGGTGGAAGGACAAATGTTTGTGCGACACTTGGTAGACGCAGGCGTCAGTAAAAGTAATCTAGCCAAGAACATAAAGTGCCAAACAGAATGCCATAATGAACAAGTAAAAAATCGGTATACCTAAAAATATTCTCTACGTAGGTAAATGTTTTTATGTGAAGTGAAATGTACAAGCGTCCACAAGACCTGGAGAGATTTTCTTGATTTTGAGAGTTAAAGTAACCTTATGTATTTTGTTCAATTTAATATTATTCATCCATCTAGTGCCCCCCCCCCCCCCCCCCGC